GGAGTATGAGAAAATGAAGTGAGAAGCAGGATACGGACTTCCAGGAGCGAAGAGATGACAACTGGTAACTGAGAGCAGGTCTCCTGGGAAGACGGCATATGAGCTACGACCTGAAGAAGGTGAGAGTGAGCCACGGGGTCATTTGCATGTCTGGCAGAGGGAGTGGCCAGGAGGTGGCAGCTGGCCCAGTATGTTCAAGGGGAGCCGAGGAGACCAGCCAGTGAAGACACAGAGGATGAGAAAGGAGTGGGAAGAGATGACATCACAGGGGTAGCAGGGTGGAACCACATCCTGGAGGGTCTCAGCATCCACAGTGAGAACTTTGCCTTTGATGATGTAGAAGGTGGGAAGCCATTGGAGGTTTTGAGCAGAGCAAACAGGCCAAGTAAATGGAAAGGAAAACTATGATCTGAATTAACACGTTATCAAGATCATTTTGGTTGCTGTTTAAAAAGAGGAAATAGGTTGAAAGGCTTGCAAGACTGCAGTAGAAGCAGGGTTTTTTGTTTTGCTCGTTGTGTTTTTATTTTGCAGGGGTGAGCAGGGGGTGGTGACAAAGGTCAGCAGCTTGCTTTTGGACATGTTGAATTTAAGATGCCCAGGAGATATCCAAGTAGAGTTGTCAGCAGCCAAGTTGGACACCTAAAGTCTATGGTTCCAGGGAGAGTCCTAGGCTGCAGTTCTCACTACGGGAGTCATTGGCATAAAGACAGTATTTACAGCCCAGGAGATGCAATGAAGTCAGTAAGGGGGTGAGTAGAGACAGAAAGGGGAAGACAGTAAGAGCCAACTTGGAATCAATCCAACACTGAAGACTTGGGTCATGAGGAAGAATCAGCAAAGGAGACGAAGTCGGGACCAATAAGGAAGGAGGAAAACCAGGTTTAGGCTCCAGAAGTGAAGTGAGGAGTCCCCGGGGCCACGTGTCCTTGATGAGAAAGGCAGGTGAGGACTGATCACTGGTTACACCTAATGATCTGATTTACTTGGCCTGTTATCCCTCAGTTTCTCAGCTCCCTTCTTTAGTATATAGCTAAACTCATTATTATTATTATTATTTGCATCCCTCTCCCTCCTCTCAGCCAGCATTTCCACTTCTATGCCTCTTCTAATGGAAACTGCACACGCTTTCACCACCTGTTCCCTGCACCAATGCGACCAAAGGCCCGCATCCAGTCGCCTAATGCAGAAACCTCTTCATAGAGGGAGGGGAATTACAAGGAGAGTGAAGGCTGTGAATTTTGTTAACTATATATTTTTTAAAACACTTTTTTCGTGTTTGTTGACTAAAAATAAAACCGTTCAAATGCACTATCAAAGACATACAGATTAAAAATAAACTGGCCACCATTTTTTTTTGCAAATCAAATTGGCATTTAAAAAAACATAGCCCGTATGGGCAAGACTCAGCAGACATTCTCATATACTACTGGTGGAAGTGTTAATTGGTAAAACTTTTCTACAGGGCAATTTGGCAATATATAAGAATAATTTTTTTAAAGATCCTTCTTCACACCTTTTGGTCCAGTAATTCTGCTTCTAGCAATTTATTGTAAGGAAATAATCAGAATGCAAACCAAGATTTCTATAAAAGGATGTTCACTTAAGTGTTCTTATAAAATTTAGGATATAGAATTCTATAAAATTCTATATTCTGGTAGAATACAAAAACAATACATTAGTGTTGTTTCTTATAAATTTATGGATTTTATAAGGATTAAATCGGCAATTAAAATAATTTAATATCTAGCACTGGAGCTTGAGTTGACAAATTACGATACAGTCACAAAAGAAATACTCTGCAGCAAGAGAATATTGAGAAGATATGAGAACAAGTCGGCAAGGTACTGAAATCAAAACAAAAATAAAAAATAAAATTTTAAGAAGTAAAAGAGCTACATAATGATATTTATGGTATTATCCTAATTTTGTAAAAAAAGTTAGAAAAATCAAAGCGATGACAACGAAAATCTTAATAGTAATTATTTGCATACTTACTTGAGATTACTGGAGTTTTTTTTTGTTTTGTTTTGTTTTTTTTTTAAAGATTTTATTTATTCATTTGCGAGAGAGACAGAGAGAGAACAAGCAGGGGGAGAGGCAGAGGGAGAGGGAGAAGCAGACTCCCTGCTGAGCAAGGAGCCCGATGCGGGACTCGATCCCAGGACCCTGGGATCATGACCTGAGCCGAAGGCAGACGCTTAACCATCTGAGCCACCCAGGCGCCCGAGATTACTGGAGTTTTTACCCATTCAAAAATATTTACTGAGGATCTACCATGTGACAGGCACTTGGGATGGAGTGTGCTTGGTTTACTTTAGTGAAATCTGACAGAATTTGGGTTTTTGCCGTGCTTACATTCTACCAGGAAGGATGGTGACAGTAAACAATAATAAATAAAGGAAGTATATGTCTTTTAGGAGGTGGTAAGTGCTACAGCAAAAACACAAAGCAGAAAAAATGGGATCAGGAGTGGTATGGCTACCATTTTAAACAGGATGCCCAGGAGAGGTGGCATTTTGGCAGACTTTATGGAGGTGAAGGAATTAGCCATGTGAATGTCGGGGGGAAAGTATTCCACAAAGGAGGATAAGCAGATGCAAAGGCTCTAAGGTGGTTGGATGTGCCTGAAAATCAGCAAGGACGCCTATCTGGCTAGAGCTGAATGAACACGGTCATAGGAAATGAGGAGCCAGACTGGACAGAATTTACCAGAAGGCTTTGGGAATGCTGGGAATAGGTTAAGAAGGTACTGCAGTAATCGAGATTCGAGATGAGAGATGACAGTGTTGGGAACAAGGGAGAACAGCAAATATAATGAGAACTGGACAGATTCTGGGTATAATTCAAAAGTAGAACAAACAGAATTTCTTGATGGTTTAGATATGGGGACAAAGAAAGAAGGGCCTCCAAGGTTTGGGGCCTGAATGATCGGGAGGACAACGTTATCATCAACTGAGATGGAAAGACTACGAGTAGCGCAGATTTTGGGGGGAAGTGGGTGAGATGAGGAGTTGGTAAGTCTCTTCAAGGGGGGATGCCCAGGAGGCCGCTGGCTATAAAAATATGGAGTTCCCAGAACATGTGTGAGCTAGATGATAATACCTTTGAGAATCATTCGCATACAGATGGCATCTGAAGCTAAGGAATGGGTGAGCTCACCAAGTCAATAACTGTGGACAAAGAGGAGGTCCAAGACTGTGTCCTGGGGCACTCCAACGTCAGGAGGTGAAAAAGACGTGTAACAACCAGGGAGAGACTGGTTGAGAAAGTGACCAGTGAGGCAGGAGAGAAATTAAAAGATGGTGGGGCATTTCAAATGCTGCTCAAATGTACATAATGGGTTAAATAAGCTGACAAGGGAGGATGGACCACTGTATTTAGCAACGTGGAGGTCAGCACACTGGTGGACCCTGGTAAGGGCCATCATGGAGGAACGTCTTAAGACAGAAATTGAAGGAAAGAGTTGGAGACTGGGAGGACAGACAATGCTTTTTGAGGAATTTTGCTGCAAAGGGGCTAAGAGAGATGGGTGGTAGCTAACTGGGGAAGTGAGAGATAAAAAAGGTTATTTTTTTCTTTTGAGATGGAATAAATAGCAGTATATTTGTATGCTGATGGTGAGCCTAGCCAATCCACTGTGATCATTAACATTCATTCTCAAGGTACTAAGATGGCAGCAGATGGTACAGTTGGGGAGTCACGGAGGACTGCCAGGACAACGTGCTCCCGCGCTGCCCCAACGGGGACAGTAATCTGGTCGATTCTGTTACCTGAAATCCCTGCTTCTCCAACCTCGTCACTGACTCAGGAGGTTTACAGTTAAAATATAAACATTTCAGGTCAGCATGACCTCACAGAACAATGATCATAATTAAGGTCTCCCCCATCACACACCAAGAGGCTTTCACTCCCATTAGGAAGCATGTGGCTTGGGAGTTTCAAAATTACAGATTGAGCAGAAACCACAAAATGCAAATCTGTGCGAGGAAAGTCTATTTTACAAGAAAAAAAAAAAGAGAGAGAAGGAAAAAATTTCAGCCCTTTGACCCTACTCTTCAAAGAACCTGTAACCTGGGAAACCAAAGTACCTCCCAGCTCCTGCTTCTTCACCAAGAGACAGGATTACAAAGAGAAAAAATCCAGAAATCAACTGTGGTTGTCTCTGTGTTGGAAGGCTCTGCATACGTCAGCTGGAACTCAAAGCTTACATTTTAGCAACCCTCCTCACCCATCTGCCAACGCATGCCTGTCCTCCTACACACCTAACGTCCCCACTCGGATGCTATCTGTTCCGTTTCTCCCTCCCATGGGTCCAATATCATCATTCTCCTTCCTTCTTTCTCCTTATAAAAACCAGTGCTCAAAAAAGAATGCCAGACAGAATTTTGGTTTAGAACTGGCAGGGGTTTTGTTTTGTATTAGTTCTCGTTTTACAAATGAAGAAACCGAGTCTCAAAAGGTGAAGTGAACTGTCCAAAGGCCAATAGTCCATTAGTGCGAAAACTCCAAAAAAATTTTTTGATCGATTCATTGACACCAAGATGTACTGATTCCCCTGTCCTCTGACCAAGGTCCGTTCTAACAGAAGCCATAGCCCCGAGCCCAAGGAATGGATGGTGGAAAGGGGGAAGCGAGGGGCAGCAGTAGGGGGAGGATGCTGTCATTCCAGCAACAGGCGGTCTTCTGGATGGTTGATGGCGCATAAGAAGCTCCCTGGTTTGTCCACTCCAGTGGTTCTCAACAGGGGATGATTTTATGTGCCCCTTCCCCTGCCGGGCACAGTCAGCAGTGTCTGGAGACATTCTGAGCTGTCACAACTAGGGGAAACACACTACTGGCATCTAGTTCATTGAAGCCAAGGGTGTTGCTAAACATCCTACAGTGCACAGCACCCCATCCCCACCCCCACCAATTATATAACCCCAAATGGCAAACCCAAACCAAAAACTCTGGCTTACTCTAAAGGAAAAAGGATGGAAGAGAGAAGAGAACATTACCAAAAGTTGGCTCTGGAGTAGTGTTCCATGTAGAGCTGTTCATCAGAAAAGGGGGCCAAATGGATGTCGCCGAATGTTGGGAACATCATTCCTAATGAGCAAAAGACAACAGACCCAGACGTTGACTAGCACTGCCTTCTGACTATAGGTACACTCACCCACCACATGACCAACTCCACGCTTTCGTCCTATTTCAATTATTACCCAAGAGGCTGAAATATAATTTTGCCTCAAAGCAAGGATAAAAAAAATTAGGCAGAAGATTGGAGGAAATATAAAGAGGAATCCTAATGCAAGTCACAAAACTATGTTATGATAAAAGCTTGTGCAATGGAGTATTATGCAGCCATCAAAAAGAATGAAATCTTGCAATTTGCCCAACGACATGGACAGAACTAGAGGGTATTATGCTAAGCGAAATAAGTCAAACAGAGAAAGACATGTATCATATGACCTCACTGATATGAGGAATTCTTAATCTCAGGAAACAAACTGAGGGTTGCTGGAGTGGTGGGGGCTGGGAGGGAAGGGGTGGCTGGGTGATGGACACTGGGGAGGGGATGTGCTATGGTGAGCGCTGTGAATGGTGTAAGACTGATGAATCACAGACCTGTACCCCTGAAACAAATAACATTATGTTAATTAAAAAAAAAAAAAAAGCTTGTGGAGTCTTAGGTGAGGCTTTTAACCTGGCATCTTGCCTTCTCTGCTGTCGGCTTTTTCGTTTCTGTATGCCCTGTGCTGGGAATCCTGTGCACTTCCTTCATTTAAAAAAAAATCTTATTGTAAAAACAGCTCTGAAAATCATTTACCTCCCATCATTCTATCACATCATTATTTCCATTCTCAGACTTTGTCCATGTATAATCATGTTGACTATCTTTTTAAGTGCTGTTAGGAGCTGTGCTTCTCTAGGGGTTCACTGTCCTCCTTGCTGGGACACCCACTCTTGTGTTTTGTTCCTGATATTTACAGTCACCGCGGGAAAGGAAAGGCAGATTCTTTAGTGGGCAGACAAACACCTAGACTGACATGCCTGAAGCCCAGCCTTCCTGAGCGGGCAGACACAGCGAGCAACATTATTATTCTTGTCGTTTCTAGGGAGACTCTTTCTCACAGCCATTTATGATCCCGCACATAAAAGAAAGATGAACTACCAACCCTCTTTCAGAAGTGAGTATCACCTTAGAAACTGGATATGCTGTCATAAAAATACCTAAAATTTCTTGATTGTGTTAACTCTGCCATGAACTTCTCTATGAGTTTTCCATGTATTAATTCATTTAATCCTCATCACAATATAAACTAGATTCTATTATTACATCCCCACTTTATAAATGAGCAAACTAAGGAACAGGGAAATTTAAGTGACTCAGCCAGAGTCATAGAGCTAGTAAGTAGAAGGGCAAATCCAGGGGCAGAATCTCATCTGTGAGGCCATGGCCCCATACTTTAACTATGCTCCCTTCAATGCCTGTTAAAATAAAACAGATTTTTTTTTTAAGATTTTATTTATTTATTTATTTGAAAGAGAGAGAGATCACAAGCGGGGGGTGGGGGGAGAGGGAGAAGCAGACTCCCTGCTGAGCAGGGAGCCCGATGCGACTGAGCCACCCAAGTGCCCAGAACAGATTGTTTTATTTAGGGTATTTTCAGAGGCAATCAGAGAAAAAGTATGGTTGTAACGTCATTCATACGTGCCCACCTAAATCTCATGCTCTGGTGTCAAAACAATAATGCGTGCTTAGTGGGTTCTCAATTTTAAGACAGAAGGATATTAAACAACCTTAGGAAAGCAATATGTATCACTAATTGTGTAAACTTGGGAAGCTTCAGAGGTGCTCTGAGCCTCAATCTTAATGGGAATTCCAAAGATATAAATTGGAGGGGAGAAAGTCATCAAAGGTGAAAATACAAGAAAAATTCTCAGAGTCGAAGAAGATGAGTCTTCTGATTAAACATTCTCACTCCACGCCCAACACAAGAATTTTAAAAGCTTCACAGTAAGAAGGCTAGAAATAAAGCAAGATACTGAAAGCATCCAGAGGGGAAAACGCTGTCACTCTAAAGGATCAGGAGTCAGAAGGTCATTGGACTGCTCAACAGCAACAACGGAACCAGAAATCAAAAAGAGAGGTCTTAAAAATACTGAGTAAAAACTGAGCACCTAGGTGGCTCAGTCAGTTAAGTGTCTGCCTTCGGCTCAGGTCATGATCCCAGGGTCTTGGGATCAAGTCCCGCATCGGGCTCCCTGCTCAGCGAGGAGCCTGCTTCTCCCTCTGCCTCTGCTCCTTCTCCCTGCTCGTGCTCTCTCTCTCTCTCTCACTCTCTCAAATAAAATCTTAAAAAAAATTGTGTCCAAATTCAAATTCTCTACCCTGCAAAATGATAATACAAGGGGTCAATAAAAAGTAACTTCTCAAGTACACTTTCTCCAAAAGCTGTTAGAGAATACTCTGCTGAAATGATGGTGGACACCAAGAAAGAAGAAGACAAGAGAATGATGACGGCAAGTCAAGTACGGTGGGTGTGCAGCAGAGCTGAAGAACAACCACGCCACGTGTGGAAGAAGAGGACAGAGCATCCACAGGAGGAAGGCTCCTACAGACTAAATATTGATAGGATCTGTCAGACCTTTTAGAGCATGGAAATAATTAGTCATGAGTACATAAAAAACCAAGCTAATGAAAAATAACTCGGAGAAAAACAAAGGTTTCATGAGAAAATCCAAAATCCTATACACCCACTATGCCACCTGGCTCAGCACAGAACAATATGTACATCATAATAACCTAAACACTGATTACGGATTTAACCAATTGATGATCTTGGTCCATATTTCTTTATATTAAGTTGGGTCCCAAAAGCTCTGTGAAGTTAGATTTTTGCACGTTTGCAGCAACATCATCTGATGGCAAAACCTGACCTGAACTCACATGAGTTTATTTATAGTCTTTATTTATCCCACTTGGTACCCATATTCATATGGTTTGTTGCAGAAATGTAATGTGTTTCATTACGGAGTGTTGCCTCAGACTCCACTGGAGGCATTAAGTAATCCATGGCATATGACTGTATTACATTTCCAAAGTCCTCCAGATTCTGGATTGGAAACCTATCTAGCCTCAGGGGTTTGGAAAAGGGATTGAGGAACCTGCATAAGTATATTGAGAAGACAGGGGTGGGGAGCAAGGGTACATCCAGCAGGGAAGAAAATGCTATGTAGGAGAGCAAATTTCTCAACCGGAGAGTGACGAAAATAACAGTATGACAATTTTGTATCAAAATATGTAGGTAAGTAACGGAAGAAGTCCCTAATGGAGTGGAGAGAGAAAGCCTTTGGGGAGCAGTCTAGGACAGGAATGGGTGTCACGGGGGGGGGGTTACTATTTTTCATTAGAAGTCTTAAAAAAAAAAAGTCTTTTTATCATTACGTGATGTTGTAAATTATGTCTTATTTTGATGGAAAATAAAAATAATTAGAAAAAATAGGGACGCCTGGGTGGCTCAGTTGGTTGGGTGTCTGCCTTCGGCTCAGGTCATGATCCCAGGGTTCTGGGATCGAGTTCCGCATCGGGCTCTTTGCACAGTGGGGAGTCTGCTTCTCCCACTGCCACTCCTCCTGCTTTTGCTCACTCTCTCTCTCTGACAAATAAATAAATCTTAAAAAAAAAAACTGGAAAAAATCAAGCCTCCTGCCCTCAGGAACGCACAGGTTAAAAAGAAGATAAAATCAGTATCCACTTCTCCTTGTCTAGTTAAAGATACACAGCCCAGTAAAAGTTTCATATCTATTTCAAATATCGGGGGAGAAAAGGATGTCCAGATATTAAGTCTAAATACTCAGCTCAGAGGGGCTCCATAGATGCACGTGAATTAACCATGTTCAGAATCTCACCAACGGCCAAGTACCTAGCCATTTGGGAAAAAAAAAAAAAATCCAGATAAAAATATAAAAATTCTTTCTGAGGGGCACTGAGTAGGAAATCTGAGTAGGCTGGTCCTTTATGCTCACTTCCACAGTTCAATTTCATCACATAAACATAAGGCTTCCAAGACCATCCTGGGCTGTTTTAGCATGGGCATGCTAATGAAGTTTGTGACATTAAGTACACTTTGTCTATATGTTGTTGCATGAGGTTTTTTTAAGTGCCTATCTCTGAATCCTTCTATTTGGAGGCATTCAGGAAATTACAGATGAGCCTCAAGCTTTACTTACATGCATATACTGGTGTGTGCATATACACACTGGTGGTCACCACTTTGTCTTTACTGGCTATCAGGCAGGGAGCCACATCATTGGTAAGGTGCCACAATTCTAATGGGAGCTGCCACTTTTTTTTAAATTTAATTTTATTTTATTATGTTAGTCACCATACAATACATCATTAGTTCTTGATGTAGTGTTCCATGATTCATTGTTTGCGTATAACACCCAGTGCTCCATGCAGAACGTGCCCTCCTCAATACCCATCACCCGGCT